AGGGAGCAGGTGCCACCCTGGGTTTCTATCCAATTTCTTTGTGTTTAGTTGAGGCATTTCTCACAAACAGCTTAATCACAGGGATCCTCCGATTCTTTGTGGGTAAGAGGAAAGGCTGATGCTTTCCTCACAGAGTCTGGATAAGGAATGTGTGGGATTATACGTTTGGTTAGTTTGCTAAGTGCTGTGTAATAAATGACTCCCAAAGGTGGCAGCTTGAAACATGTATTATCTTACCCTGTTGTTTCGTGGGTCAGGAGTCATGGGGTAGCTTGGCAGGGGAGTTCTGGCTCCAGGTTTTCCATTAGCTTGAATTCAAAGCAGTGGCCAGGGCTGTCATTTGAGAGTGGGGAGAGAAGTGGGGGCTGCTTAGTAAACTTAGTAATGATGTGCCATCATGATTGCTAAATTCTCTGGTCACATTAATCAGTGTAGGCGAAGAGCACCCAGGTGAAAATAACAGGATGCAGGGATCATTGTTGGAGTTTACCCTGACAGGATAGGCTCTCACCTCTCCAGCTTCTAGCATGACACCTGGACACTATTAGTTGAACAGCCTTTTTGTTTGTTTGTTTTGAGACAGGATCTCCCTACATAGTTCAGGCTGGCCTTTAACTTACTATGTAGCCCAGGCTGGCCTTGAACTCATGGTGATCCTTCTGCCTCAGCCTTCCACGTGCTGGGATTACAGGCAAATGCCACCATGCCTGATATTGAACAGTCATTTATTGAGCAGTGATTGTGTGTAGGCTTGTTCTAGTCCCAGGAATACGGGCATGGAACTTGCTCTCAAAGGTTTATTTTCAGCTGGGTAGGGTGGTGCACTCTAGGAGGCTGAGGCAGGAGGATCACAAGCTTGAGTCCAGCTTGGGGGGGGCTTAGCAAATTAGTGAGACCCTTTCTCACAGCATAAAAATAAAAAGGGTTGGGATGTAGTTTATGAAATGAAGATCTTGGATTCCCCAGAATCACACACACACACACACACACACACACACACACACACACACAAATCTTACATTTTTAGAAGGCAATAGCAGGTTTCTAGAAACAGAAATTTATTCTGTATGACAGAGATAAAAACTTCATAAAAGGAGTTCATAGTAACTAAAGATACAGCCATCATCCGACTGCTTGGGAAAGAAGGACATCCTCCTCTGCTGTGTGATAATTACAGGTTGGACAATTATGCAACTTTTACTTTAGAAGCTGAGCATTTACACCAAGAATCTCAGCCGAAGTACTGAGAACCCTTGTAATTGAGAAAAAGGTGTGCTGAGTAGGTGTGGTGGTGTCTACCATTGTGTAGTGTGGGTTTTGCTGATTTTCCAGATACATCTAGCGACACAGTAGCACATATGCACTCCAGTTCCTGAGCTCCTTATCTCCAGTGACAGCAGCTAAGGGTCTTTTTCCTGACATTTGATGGAATGTACATATAAACGTGGGTAGATGAAACAAAAAGGTGACCTTGAGATTAAAACCTTTTGGATGTGCTCATCTCAATTACTTTCCTGACACTTTACTTGGGCTAAAATATTCATATTTTTGGCTCTGAGAGGAGACCTGTAGGATTTGCATCTTGCTACCCTTTATGGTACTGGTGTGAAGTTTGAGACTCATATGTGAATATCGAAGTCTTAGTCTATCTTTCCAATACACCCACAGGTGGAAATGCACACTGGAACTCTCTGCTCCCAAGGAGCTCTGAGGACTACTCAGTTTCCAGTAGCCATCGGCTTTCTGTCTGCTGTCCTTGGCCAGGCTTTGGGGCCTCAAAAGCTTTGTGGCCCAGTAGTACACCCTGAGCCTGTGTTCTCTGCTGGCTGTGCAGGCTACAGGGGTGGAGGGCAAGACCAGCTCTGGCCTCAAGGAGTTGGTGAAAGAAACGTGACACAGGGGTGTCTCCTCCCTGACCATGTCTGTCTTGTTCAAGGCATCAAGGAATCTCCACTGGGGGAGCCCGTGAGCCTAACTAGCTCTTGGCCTGGAACTCACTTGTCTTATATTTTCACTGTAAAGTTATATATAGCATAAGATAATTGGTAAATTAAAAAAAAACGAAACCAGTGTGGTGGCACATGCCTGTAATCCCAGTACTTGGGAGGCTGAGGCAGGAGGATCATTACAAGTTCAAGACCAGCCTGGGCTACACAGTGAGTTCTGGAGCAGTATGAACTACATAGTGAGACCCTGTCTCAAAAAAAGGAAAAAAAGAAAGAAACTACAAGGAAGAAAATTAAAATCCCTTATAATCCCACCTCTCAGGTAAACTAAACAGTCTGTCAAATGGCCTTTGGTTCCATTTTAACAAGAATAGAGATTTAATAAAATTCTATGCATGCTGTTTGATAGCTGCATGGTATCCCATTACATAAACCTCTTCCTTTTCACAGCTATTAAACACTGACCCATGTCTAATTATACAGATAAGCCATTTGATCCTTACAACTCGAAGGCCTAGGTGCTGTTGTTTTTCTTTGTTTGTACGTGAGGCTCAGGTAGCTATGAACCATGGCCAGCTAGAGAGCTGGACTCCTGCTGGGGTATCTGACACTGGAGCCCAGCTTCTCCAACAGCAAGGTGCAGGGCTCTGCCCTTACATGGATTCACCATGTTTCATTTCACCAGTCTCCTACTTTCGTTCATCTTTATTCCCATGTTCTTGATACTATACAAGTTTCAAAGACTGGAGATTTAGCTGAGCAGCAGAGCTCTTGCCTAGGGTTCAATTTGCAGCACTGCAATCAGTCAATCAATTAACCAATCAATAGAAATGAAGTTTCAATGTTCAATCACATGGTAAAGTCTTTGTATCATTATCTACAAGTATTTCATTAGGATAATTTATAGCAGAACGGTTGCTAGGTCAAAAAATTTAGAGTTTGAAGGATTTGACAAATGTAGTCAAACTGCCCTCAGAATGTTGTACTATTTGACATTTCCTCCATTGGGCTATCAGAAGACCAGTTTTCCTATGCTTTTCCAACACTGGGAAATTTCAGGATTTTGTTTTTGTTTTTGTTTTTTCACTCTTTGCTAACGCAAGGGACCGAAAAATGGCAACTCACAGGCTCTAATTTGCTTTTTTTGTGATTACTAATATGGCAGGCACACTCTGATCCTCCGTGTACCACGCCTTTGTCCAATACCCTCCTCTTGAACGTCTGTGACTTGTTTCTAATGAATAGAATATGGCAAAAATGAAAGGATTTTGTAGATTAATAAATGTCCCTAATCAGTCGACTTCAGGTTAATAAAAAAGGAGATTTTCCTAGGTGGGCCTTATCTAATCAGGTGAATTCTTTCAATTTACTCCTGAAGTTAGACAAGCAGTGGAGAAGGAGGAGGAGGAGAGGAAGGAGAAGAGGTAGGGGAAGAGGATGACAAAGAAGGGGGGAAGGAAGAAGAGGAGGCAGAGGTGGCAGCTCAAGGAGGTCATAAAATGAAGCTGCAGAGAAACAGATTTGGCCTCCAGCCTGAAAGAATGTGGAACGCTCCCTTTATGAAGTCTGTATATGAAAATGAACATAGCTGGCACCTGGACCTTAGCCAATGGCACCCTGAGCAGAGCATGAGGCGGAGCCTGACTTAGCATTCTGATTTATGGAAACTGTGAGATAATGAAGTGGACCCTTGACTTAGGAACTCCATCAGTTCCCAAGGGCTGGTTGGTTGTAAGTCAATACAGCTGAGATCTGGATGTTTATCTGGGTACACACTATAGATAATAAGAGGCAGGTGAATATTCCATTAACCTACTTAACCCAAGCTGTTCGTATGTCAGGCTGGTAATAACTTGAAGATCCACCATAAATGTGTGTTGTTTTAAGCCACTGAATTTGTGGTAATTTGTTATATGGCATAAACCACCCACAATACTACTGTTTTCCATGTGTTATTGATCAGATTCTTTTTCCTTTCTAGCTTTTTTTGTTAGCATTTTCATATTTACATTTGCATCTTCAGATATTGAGGTTTTTCTTGAGTATCAATCCCTTTGTGTGTCACAAACAAAACAAGCAGTCACTGTATTTTCCTGTGGTCAAATTCATGTCTTTCCGTCCAGAGTCTCTCTCTTTTTTTTTTGATACCAGGGATTGAACTCGGGTCCTTGTGCTTATGAGGCAGGTGGTGGAACCACTGAGCCAAATCCCCAGCCCCATCCAGAGTCCCTTTCATGGTGAACTTGGAAAGCCCACCCTCACCTTATAGGGAGAGTCACATATATTTTTACCTAGCAGTTTTGTAGTTTTAACATTACTTTGAATCTTTAACCCATGTGAAGAAGACTTTGGCAAATGATATGGTTCAGAGAAGTAAAACTTTGGTTGTCTTCAAATTCACTGATAATCTCTACTATGCTGGGGTGTGACTCAGTGGTCAAACACATACATAGCAGATATGAGGCCCTGGCTTCCAACCCCAGCACCACATAAACACACGAGTCTACCAAATAATCATTTCCTTTTTCAAAAAAGTCTGTTCGGCCTTTTTATTACATAACATCAAATCTGTCAAGCTCTGCATTACTATTAACTTGTTTTCATTCTTGGAACTTTATATAATACATTTGACTATCTAGTAAGGAAAGTCACCCTTCATTCTCTTCTTTATATTATAAACTTGCCTCACTATTCTCTTACATTCCTTTTATCATTGTCTTTAGAATTATTTTGTCAATTCCCACTGGCAGTTTAATTACATGTGTGCCATGTTGATTTATATTTATAGATTTATAGGTTACTAGGGGAAGAAATAGCCTCCTGAACTCCTGCCAGAACACGTTTGTGTCATGCATTTATTTGTCTTCTATAACATGGTCCCAGTCAAGGTTGTTTTCTTCTTATACACCTCATACATCTCTGGTGTTGAATTTATAACATGATTTTAATTATTTTCATTTAAAATATGTTAATTATAGTATTTTTATGATATCTTGTGCTAGGTTATTGAAAAGAGTTATTTTTATAATGCATTTGTTGACAGCAAATTTTGGCAAACATCAATGAATGCATTCTTTTACAATTGATTGGGAATATGGAATTTACAATTCAGAGTATTACGTATTTTATTACTATGTGTAAAGTGCCACATTTCCTTCATGTCAGTGAGGTAAGGCATGTAATAAACATGTATATACATGCAAGGATTTTAGAACCAGTTCCTAAACATCTGTGAGGACCCCTGGTATAATATGAGTGCCAGGGCAGATTAGTCTGAGCCAGTCATGGACTCTGAATTCCTTATCAGTGATTGGTTCACAAGTGGGCTGGCCTAAGCAGTTTGGGTCAATGGAATGGAAAAGAGGGTTCCTGGTAGGTTCTGAAAAGAAGTCAGTGTTTAGTAGTCACAGACAGAGATGCCAATGGTCCTTGCAACCTTAAATAAGAACAGTCCTTAGAATGAAGCTGAGTCAGCAGACAGAAAGTGAAGAAGCAAAACAACCTGTTGATGACTTGGCTGAGTGACTCCGTCTACCAGAGTTCCGTGCTTGTTTGAGCTTGTGTTCATGCCTATTTTAGCTTGGCTTCTTTCTACCTCAAAGCACACATCTGATGCACAGAGAGCTGAACAAGCGAGGAGTGCAGCACAGCCAGTCCCCAGCTACCGTGGTGCTCGGAAAATGGCAGCACTTCCTTCTTCTACCCAGCATCCTTCCTATAGCCAGGCTCTGTGTGTGTTCACAGAGGGCCTGCTCCTTCCTCACCCCTGGACACAATGAAGCTTCCTTGCCCCTTAGGCACAGTTCAGCTCCCACTCCTTGGGAAGCCTGTGCTTTGGAGCCATTTCCATGCTCAGGGGGCTGAGCCTCCTGTGGCTGCCTGTATTTTCCTGAGTCTGAGAGTCCTCATCCCTAGGTCCAGGACCAATCTTTACACATCAGTAGCCCCCTCTGTAGAGCCTCATGCAACCCTTCTACTCTGTAAAGATCAGTTGGTTTTTACTGATGAACCTACCAGCCATTAATCTCCACTGCCTCTGCTCTTTGCAAGCTCCAGACACCTGCCTGAAGATGAATAAAACTCCTACAGTAACAAGAGCAGCATGATTATTTTGTTCTGAAAGTCTTTACAAGCATAAGGCATGTCTGAAGCAGCTATAAATAATTTACACTGTCCATAACTCATCTGATCGAAACAGACCTCATTGCAGTGTGGTGGCAAAATCTGGTACAAGCTGCTTTGCTGCCGCCTCCAAACCAATTACCCACTCAGAGCTGATGAGAATCTGACTGGGTTCCCTGCAGCAAACTAAAGCCCCATCCGCAATCACATTAACCACAATCTGTTCCTGATTAGAGGCTGGATAATCCTGTTGGACAAGAGGTGACAGCCTAGATTCTATTCTCTCTTGTAATATCTATTTTTGGAATTTACTGGTAACTCAAACTTCTGGGAGATGTTTTCCAGTGAAAGAGGACCTGCTATAGGTTCTTTTGAGAAAATGCTGCGGGCTTTGGCTAGAGCTACACATTCAGTGTCATTTAATATTTCTTATTTTGTTGAAGGTGATGAATAGACAAGTGGGACAGGAATCTGTGGTCTTTATTATGAGAAACACACATTTAATTTCTTATGAAAGTGTGTTAGAAAGAATTAAAGACTTTCTTAAAAATCTTTACAAGGATTAAAAACTTTAAGAAGAGATGGTCTCATGTTTGTTTGAGACCATAGGATGAATTGTTTTGTTTGTTTTAGTAAAAGCAAGGCAAGCATCCATGAATGGTAAAGGGGCGCTCACCAGCCACCAGTATCTGCAAAACCTAAGCCCACACACAGCTGTGCAGGATGGAGGAACTTAGGACTATATTCCACTTTCTTGCAGGGGTTTAGGGGAAGGCATCAACTGAGCTCTGACAGCTGACAGTCCCTCCACTTTGAATGTAGAAATCCTGTTAAAGGGATACACAGGGTCTTCATCCCAAACCTGGCCCCTTTGGTAAGAAGTTTGTGTCTGCCTAACAGCTGACACTCCTGCTTTGGTGAATGGATTCCTTTTGGATCTCAGTCTCTTTCTCCTTCTTTTTGTCTGCTTCCTTCTCAGTTTGCCCAGCACACGGATCTCGCGGAGAGCAGGGACGCTTTTAGAAGAAAAACAGCATTAAAAGGCAGCCCTAGGAGGCTCTAGGCTGGCAGGGAGGCAGCAAAGAACCCAGGGCCCTGGACCAAACTGCTCAGAACCATGCCCAGACCATGCTGAGCCAGCCCAGATTCCCCCTTCTGGAAAGATGGGGGAAATGCAACTTTCCCCATAGCCACAGGCACAGCTCCTTCCTAAATCCCATGCCTCTCCTAAGATCTAGGCTTGGTCCCTCTATCTTTGCATGGTGGCATCTGAAAGGAAACAAAGGCTCTCATTTTTTAAAAACCTCATTTATACTCATTTGGACCTGCAATCCCAAGTGCTTGGGAAGCTGAGGCAGGAGGATCTCAAGTTCCCTTGGGTATCTTAGCAAGACTCTGTCTTACAATAAAAAAGGACCATGGATGTAGCTCAGTGTCACAGCACCCTTGGGTTTAATCTCCAGTACTGGGGATGGATGGACAGACACACACATACATACATACATACATACATACGTACTTTCATGGGGCTAATTTGTCTCCTCTTTCTATAATGATACCCTGTGGTTCTTTTAACCAAACTCTCACAGCCATTCCCTTACCACTGATTCCCCCAGGGCAAGAGTGCTACAAACTAGGGGTTGCTTTGTTTTCCTACAGGATGACCTTGGTAACCTTGACTTATGTCTGGCCACTCAAAACAAAGTAACCAACAAAACCACTTACATCTGGATAGACTCAAGTACAAGTTTATAGCTCCTCTCCTGGGGGCGTGGCTTTGAGTGTAAGTCCTCCTCTTGTTAATGGAGGTTTTTGCTTATTGATTTCTACTCTGCTAAAAGATGACAGGAGAAGGATGACGGTCCTGCCTCAATGCCTCAGAGGCAGGGCTGGCTTCTTAGAAACTCAACCTGGGCAGTCACATGGGCCCCAGGCTTTAGATCGGTTCCATGCTCAGTTTAATGCTGCCACCGCTATCTTCAGATTCATCTCCCAATTCCATTTTGCACTGGAATTTGGGAATTCTGTGGCTGAACGTGCTGAGGCGATTGGACACTTTACACAGGACCCCGCCCAACTGCTCAGCCCAGGGTCTGATTGCAGCAAGTGCTCTGCAGTGTCGGTGAGGAGAGGAGGTCCCCCCTGCTCCCCTTGTTCTGGTCCCATGGGCACCTGTGTGATCAAAGGGAGTCTGCAGCGGGGAGTCTGGCAAGACAGAGGAGAGGACAGGGGGCCACAGCCTTGGACAAAACAGAACCCACAGAGACTGGCAGGAAACGCCCCAGTCTGGCTCCCAGCTTCCTCCCTTCCAAGCAGGGTTGTAGGGCACTCAGCCCCAGTGCTCTTCCTAATGGTCATGCTGGGGACTGAAGCTCCTCCCTGTTGCCACAGCTTCCTCTGGCTTGGGTGGAGACGGTGCTGTGGTTGCAGCATTGTGAGTGATCCCGAGGTGATGCAGGGTGGGAGGCGGAACATGAGTTCAAATCCTTCCTCTACCAGCCCTGATCTATGGCAAGAAAACCACTCCCAGCCAGTTTCCCCAGCTGAGAATTGGCAGCTCTTTCCTAGGATCTGTGGGAGGATGGACAGGAAAGTGTTGAAGTAGAGCCCTCAGCAGAGCCCAGGGTGCTGACTGGTGTGATGGGGCCACTGTCGATGCAGTCGGGCCCATGGGTGAGTCCATGAAAGTAGTAGACAAAGATCTCTGTATGCGTGAGAGGGGAAGGCAGAGGAGCAGGACAGGAGGCTAAGTGCGTATGTGTGAGACTTACTTGTGGAAGTACACGAACTGCCCATTCAACTGTATACCCTAAGCAGGAAGAGTGGGACTGGCTCTCCACTGCGGTTCTTGTCTGTCAAAAAAGAGCCTGGTGTGGAGACTCCGACACTCTTCCAGCCTCCTCATTCTGGAATTCTAGAAGGAAAGAAGGGGAAAGGGAAGGATGGAGGACTGACTAATGAAAAGAATGAGATGATAAACGCCACTTTTTTTTATTCTCTCCAAGCCCCTTTCTTCCAGGCTGACAGGTTTCCTGTTCTTTCTCGGGCAGGAGAGACCCTTGCTCTGTTTTCTCTCCTAGATCTTTGTAAGCAGCCTCATGTTTGGGGGAATTGTGGACAATGAGAGGCAGTGGCGATGGGGTGGGTGGGGGTTGGGGAGAAGGACCTCTGCTCTTTTGATCTCCCAGGAGATGGCCAAAACAGTGCTTGCTGGTGCTCAATTTGTGAAACAAGGCAGAGCTGAAGAGCGTAAGCGGCAGCTTCTGGTAAGAACAATGGAGGAGAGGAGGCACTGAGGTCTCCTGTGTGCTGTGACTTGGGTGTCCTCAGAGGGGACACTGGGACCCTAGGAGGCAGAGAACCAGGGTAGGGCCACATCAAAGGCGCCCTGGGACTTCAAGGCAGGGCTGCCCTTCTCCTACCCTAATGCTGGACAGTGGGGGTTGGCTTCGAGCAGAGACCTATACGGAGGGAACTTGGAACTGGTTTTACTGGAAGCGAAGGGGGTGAGTGGTGGACACTGTGTGGGTCTTTAGTGGCACAGCGAGAAAAGCAAAAAGGGCCTGGGTTCAGGGCCGGCTCTGATCACCCTTGGGGCCAGTGGCAGTCACTTCCCCTCTTGCCATTTCCTCAAGACTGGATGGGTCTGACACTGCCCACCGCAGGATGTGGCAGGAAAGACCTGGGACGTGAAGTGGAACAAATGTTAGTTCTGGTCCTGACCCCCTGGAGATGCCATCCCTCTCCATGATCTCTGTACCATCTCACAGGACTGGATTTTCTAGCCAGGAAAGAGCTTCGGGGCAAAAGAGGCATAAAGGTTGCACTTCTGACAGAGCATCTCAGTTATTGATTCCCTTGCTCCTTGGTGAAGTGAGCAGGAGTGGTGGGAGCCAGGCCTGGCCCAGGAATCACCAGAGCGGGAAGAAGCCCAGCCAAGCCAACAGCACCTCACACTTCCTACAGGAACGTACACAGCATGTGTCCTCCTAATCCAGAGCTGCACCCACAAGCACAGGACACCCAAAGCACAATGCATCTCACAGTGCAGAGATCACAACCAGCCCCACGCTGGAACGTCACACAGGGAAGTTTCCTGGGGCAGACACAGTGATAAGGATCAAGGTTAACAGGCATCTAGCAGTTACTCAGTGCCAGGTATTATCCTAAGCCTTGTTCTGGAATAGTTTGATTTTTACGAAGTAGAAACAGCTAAGAGGAAACTGAAGGAAGAACTCCAAGGAGGTGCCCTGAGGTTACACCAGTGATCTGGCGTAGGTACTCGCAGGAATGCCCTTTACTTACATTCGTTCAAGCGCGGCACTCTCCCTCTCCCTAACACCCGAGGGTTGGGGCCAGAGCAAAAATTCGAGGCTCCAGAAGTGGCGGAGGTGGCCCCGGCCGAGCAGCGAGGTCGGATATCACTTCCGCCCGACCAGCTCCTTTCCCGCGGCCCGGGCGTGGAGCTCAGGGCGGCGCCTGGCGCTCGGTGCCTGTGAACCCAGGCAGGAACACACTGCGTCCTCTGCCTTTCAATGGGAAACAGCCGCAGACACGCAGCGGGTGGATGTGGTTTATAGAAGGTGGGTGGGCTTTGAACCCATCCAAACAAAACCCACAGCGGGCTTTTTTAAAAAGAAATTTATATTTGGAAGGAGAACACGCCAGGCCTCATTTCTAAGGCCGGAGGAGCTAATGCGCAGACTGTAAATCATCCCGCTCCATGTTCGTTTCTGGGGATCCGCGCTGCGCTGGTTTGTGAAAATGAAACAGCAGATTTATGAAAACCGTTTATTCTGGATGGGGACCCACTCTGGACTCCAGCAATGCTCTGGAAGGAGCTATGGGGTAGGTTGGGGAGTCGGTGGAAATTAAAAACTAAGACAGCACTGGAAGAAGACGGAGGAAAAGGAGGAGTGAAGGAGGGGGAGACAGTGGGTAGAAAGCGCAAAGGAGAGGTGAGCCTCAGCCTCGGGAGTGCAGGACCTGTCCCTTGGAGCTGGCTCTGCGTCCCGGGCCACCTACCTCCAGCTCCAGCTTCCTAGGGAGGGGCGGCGGGGCACCTTGGACTGAGTCCATCCAGATCAGGTGGTCAACCCTATCTTCCTCTAGATTGGGCTCTGAGGACAAAAGCTCAGGACAGGAGAAGGGTGCTCATCTGGACCAGGAGGGCCACGTCCAGCGGATCCCCTTCTCCGTGCTCACGTCCCGCGCGGCGAGTTTTATTTACGAAACGGGAGATTTAAAGTAGAGCACGAAGAGCCTACAGACTTCCTCCCCGCCCCAGGTAGCCGAGGACACCTAGCGATGGGCCAGGCTTGCCAGGGGTCCTTGTAGATTTCGGGGGCGGGGACGCGCTCCATTGTTCACTCCCAGCCAATCAGGGCTCTCCCACCTTGGGCCAGCCAATCCTGCTGAACTCTCGCCTCTCCCACCACGCCCATCCGGGGGTCCCCGCCCCCGCCCCAGCTGCTGGGGGAGGCGTGCGTGCTGACGTCACGCGCGTGCGGGCTGGTGCGGAGTCGCTTCCCCGAGGGCCCGGAGTCAGTGCGCGGGAGCCGAGCTGTGCGACCCTAGTCCTTGATCCGTCCACGCTATTTGCCTCGCTCTGCATGGTTGATTTGTTTCTCCAGTGTCCTTTCCCGGGTGCTATGGGGGACCCCTCCAAGAGTAAGTCCCCTGTGTGCGGGGCGGGTGCGTGATGCGCAGCATTCGGAATGCAGAAGAGTGATCGGCGGATCCCACAAGTGGCTTCCGTCCGACACTGGGGAGGAAACCCTCGATCGCGCCTATTCGCGGGCTACTGCGCCCAGGGATCCAGATTTACGTTGGATCGGGCTAGGGTTCTGCTAATAGCTTGCGCGGAGGCGGTTGGGTCTAGTTTAAGGTGCGGGTTTTGTTTGCTAGCGTTTTGGTTTAAAAGCCGGAGAGATTTCTCTGGCGTGGTCCGGGATGTTTAGATCGCGGGTGTCCGCGACGATGCGCGGGGCTGTCGTCCCCTCCAGCCTCAGTATCCAGTTCGTGTGGTCGCAGAGGCCCTGCGCTGACCCCAGCGCTTTGGAGACGAGGCCTGCACAAACCCCAAATTTGGGTTTTTATTCCGGACATCCCTGGTCCTTGGGAAGCTCGCCTTTCCCTTTGGTCGCGATGCTGAGTAAGGGAGGAGACGCGCAAGCGACAGGGCTGGGCCGTGTGTCCTAAGACCAGGCCTGACCCAGCGCTGCGCACTCCTCGCAGAGAAGCCCGGGACGGCTATGTGCGTGGGCTGCGGGAGTCAGATCCACGACCAGTTCATCCTGCGCGTGTCGCCGGACCTCGAGTGGCACGCTGCCTGCCTCAAGTGCGCTGAGTGCAGTCAGTACCTGGACGAGACGTGCACGTGCTTCGTGCGAGACGGGAAGACCTACTGCAAGCGGGACTATGCGCGGTGAGCGGGGCGGGTGGAGGGAGGCCCAAGCTGCAGCAGCGCCATGGGGGCGGGGACCAGGCCGCTCACCCGCGCCTGCTCGTCCACAGGCTCTTCGGCATCAAGTGCGCCAAGTGCC